TTAATATATCAGGCATTATATTTTTACGAAGATAATTTATATTAATAAAATTATTTTCATTCGTTTCATTTTTTATAACTAAACGAATTTTTAACTTTTCAACGTGATATACATTATTAATTATCCATTTTAAATAATTTAATTCCCATTTATTCAATATAGTACTTTTTAAACTGAAAGATTTTAATTTTGGCATCTAAAATAAATTATTACTCAGAAATTAAAAATTTTTCTTTCTTTTTATCCATAGGAATTATTTCAGTTTCCAATATTTAATCAGAATAAAAACATGTAGAAATTCATAGAGAATCATGGACGAATATGAGAGATCCTACTCAGAAAACGATTTGTACTATCAATTGACAATGTCTTTCTTATTTGAACATTGAAAAATGTATTACTGATAAGTCTATATTTGAACTGAGATTTATCGCAATCAATAAATGTCAATTATGTATCTGTATCGATTCGTGTCAAATAAGAGTAAGATCTATATTAATATAATTATTATTTTTCTAGTTTATGATTGACTTAGAAAAATTTCAACGCTAAATTTTTACAGTAAATATTCATTAAGGATAATATGATTTAAGTACTTGAGTTATTGTCAATATTCACGAAGATGTAGTTTAACAATTAAATATTAAAAAGATTAATGATCTATTTGACATATCAAAATTTAGTTTAAATTCTATAAATCAATTTAATCAACATGCTCTTTTATATAGAACATATTATCTTTTCTTTTTTCTTCGATTTTATTATTGTCTAGAGTAGTCATCAAATATGAGTAACATTGAATAAAAATAACTTTTTATCTAATCATCGTATATAGAAGTTCATCAAAATTCTATAGAGTAAATTCACTTTCCTTTCGTCTTCGACAAAAAATCTCAGCACGCGCTTCTAGATGATCTACAACCAGAAATATTTTTGTAAATTTCAAAACACAGAAAGAGTAGTAGTAATGAACAAGATAATCTCTGTATTTATTTATTTAAATCTAGTTAACAAAAAGAATATTCTCGTTATAACAGAACAAACAAAGTACTCTGACTTAAACCAAATAAACAAATGAATTTTTTAATTCTATATAGATTCATCGCTCATTTTCAAGAAAATTCTATAAAGATATTAGATACTATTTCTTGTTTTCAATTAGTTAGACCCAGAAACGTTTGGTATAGCTACAAAAGTGCATCGAAGGTTTTCACTGTGCGATAATAATAGTCTAGCTTTCATACAAATAAATTCTTTTTTTCTTTCAATGATTAACTTCTACAGAGATACTTTATACCAATAATCATTATTAAATATGATTATTCACCTTGATTTATCTATTTTAACTCACAATTTATTCCAGTTGACTTTTACTTCTCCGAATTTTAAAATCTCTCAAACTGTTTAGGAAAAAAAAAAGAATAGTCACATTTAAATCGAACTAATATAAAATCCATTTGAGATAACATATAGAAAGAATCTTCTCATGTTAATACGATGACAATAGTTCATTTGACGTTATATTATTTTAAAAGTCGATTCATTCTTTTTATTCAAGATTGAATAGATTTCTTCTCTGAATTGGTTTTTTTACCTTTTCATACCAATTGAAATTAATTGATATGAATCGTTTCATCTTCGGCTCGTATAACCGTTTTTGCATTAACGAATCTTTGAATGTAACTGAAAGAGTTTGAAGAGCAGGTACATATGTAATAATGTTTTCAAGAAAATAACCATAAATTAAATGAATATGTAAATGACGAAGAGTGATACAATAAATAATAACTGGATTGTTTATTGAAAGACATTCATGAATACCATTATAATTATGATCATTTGGTATATTAAGTTCAAGAGATGTTAACTGACATTTATCAGAAAACAATTCACGTAGAAATTTTTTGGACATAAACATAAATTTTGAATCTATTTTAAAATATATAAAAATTTACATATCTCTTTATTACTAATAGAAATATATATTATAACTTTAATTTAAGAGTATAAATAAAAAAGGAGAAATTTAAATTGTTACCTTCATTATGATGAATTATTCGAGATCTTCTTTCATAACGAATCAATTCAAATATATCTTCATCAAACGTAAAAATGAATACATCCAATTGATATTGAATAAGAAATGATAAGTTTTCAATCAATTTTATCGTTAAATAACATTGTTTAAGAATAATCTTCTTTAAATTAACAAAACGAAGAATTTTTGAATGAAAAATCCATTCAGATATAATAGCACAACAATTTGAATTTGTTCCATCAACATAAATCCATTTAATAGAAGGAAAAAAAGAAGAAAAATCAGAAATATTTGATGTCATTATTCAATGATATCTATTGAAAGAGAAACATTTTCCACTAATAACAATTCCATAATTAGCCATTGAAAGTTTTAAATAAATAAGTGTTATGTCAGGAGATGTCTCTCCTGATATAAGGAGACTCCATGTTCTTATGACATCATTACTGCACTTCAATGGCATTCTTATTCTTCCTCGCAATGGTATTTTCATGATGGAAGAGGAGAGAAAGAGAGAAAGAACATTCTTTGCTGCTTTTTGTTTTTGATAGATTCAGTTGTTTGTTTTTGTGAAGAAAGAAGGAATAAAGAAAACGAGGAAAAGGACTGTTATGACCGAAGTGTTCCCCTTCGATTATAAGACGGAACGAAACGAATAATAAACACTCCGTTCTAGTACAGTGGTAATACAGCTGCCCGGGAAGCAGAAGACGTGGGCTCGATTCCCTCGGGAGGAGTATTCTTTTGTTCCGTTCTGTTGTCATACCATCACGTTGCTGCCTCGGTGATAACAATGAGTAATAATATGAGAGTGAAATAAAGAGAATAGAAATAAAGACATAACAAGGACCTAACAATAAGATCATTAAAATGTTTATTTAATGACCAAAATGATTCAATCATTTCGAACAATCTTATATAATTTAATATTAGAAGTAGAATTTCATTTGGCAGATTTTCTAATCTATTTAACATATTATCTAAAACAAAAAACAATATTTCCAATATGTGACTTACTAGACTTTCTTTATAATCATAAATATATGCAGCTATTAAAATCTATTTGTCTTCGTTTATTTTATTTCATTAACGAATGTTTCACAAAAGCAAACAAAAATTAAAAGATCAAGGTATCTTTTCTCCTTCATCAATTTTTCCAATCCATATTTATTATTAATATTATTGCTTTCATAGCAGAATATAGTATATTTATAAGTTATAGTTATATGAAGACAGAAGGGTTGATTTTTTTTAATATATAATTTATTTATATACAATATTTCAAAAGTTCTGAAATGATTTTAATATTCATCGTTGTTACATTCAACAAAAGAAAACTCTTGGAAACTTTGGTAGATTATTGCACATATATCATGCTACATAACTATAAAATCTGAGGTCTATAGATTGTATTATGAATGAGGAACTGTAACAACACTGCCATGTACTGTTTTAAACATTTTCCTGATCATCTTATTATTTTAAAAATATAATAAAAATTTGAATTAGAAAAGAAATCAATCAAAAGTTATGTGCTCCTATATTTAATCACCACCTTGATCGATAAGTCATTTTAATCGGGCTAGTATTTTATTTCTCATTTGTTGGCATAAAAAAAAACACTAAATTTGAGCCATTCCTTTTTAATGTCGTTTTTTAATTGATGAATATACTTCAAACTTTGAAACGCCAACCATTTGTTGTTGTATAGAAAGATGGATGTTTTTTTTAGATGCCATACTAAAGAACAGAATCTTTTTAATCTTTATCAAATTTTATCTAATAGAAAATTTAAAAAATAGTATATGATAGTTTTATTACAGTTTCTCATCCATACACAATCTATAGACCTCATACTTTGTAGTTATATAGCACTACAGATGTGTAATAGTCTACCAAAGTTTCAAAGGATTTCTTTCTGTTGACTGCGAGAATGATGAATTTTATAATAGTTTCAGAGCTTCTAGAACATTTTGTATGTATATAAATAATGTAGAGAAATACATGAATAGTGTTCTTTAAATGAGAAGCTTCTCTACCGCCTATTCCTAGACATAAACGATTATATTGATGAAGAGAAATTAATTAACTGTGACAAATATAAATATTGTACCATTCTATCTCTAAAGATATGTTTGCCTTAATTTTAAATGATATTCATCAATACCGTATGAAGTGGCCATGTCACTTGTACATATATCGAAAAAAAAAATTTTTTTCATATAAATCTTGTTCACTAGATAGCTTTGTAGATCTAATTAAGCTAGTTAATAAATCTTGAGAGTGTGGGTGTGGGTGTCTATGTGGCTGTGACTATCGTACTTGTCGGCTCAAACACCCACACCCACACGCACACCCTCACCCTCACCCTCACCCACACCCACCCGCACCCACCCACACCCTCCAATGATTTGCTTCATTCAACTTATTTTTAAAATCATTAGATCCAATATCTAAGTTTTCAAATCACCATAACATACTTACTACTGTTCACATTCTACCTCAGGCATACACTCTCTCATACTTTGGACTGTAATAGCTTTTGCCGTTCCAATACAATTACCACAAAACCTTTATCCATACTCGTAATGTGCACAATAATCTAATTCAACAAAATAACATTTCACATTAGTATTACACAAAATCAGTCGACCCTTAAATATATTTTCATCTCACACTATCATTTGTTACTAAACATTACCTTATAGAAAAACACACGAAAAGCAAAGTTATCAACTACTTTTGCAAGCTATTCTAACTACACCACACATCCACCAAAAAGTTAACATATTATTTTAAAACAAACAAACCAACTCAATTGAAAATAAAAACTAACACCATCACGCAATACCAACAGCTCAATGCTCCTACCCTTCCCACACATTTTCACCACAACTCCTAGAACAATATCCACTTGCAACCTTCCCTTTGAACTCAAGCAGAGATATGAACAGAAGTCTCCTTAAGAATGTACATTTGCCATATACTCCTCGAACAGCTAACCAAGTCGCAACCTTTGCTTCGAAGTGAGCAAAAGAGGTGAATGTAATCCAGACAGGATCCGGCTTTGATGCTGATTTTTGGCCGTGGGTTAGGAAATGTTGTATTGGTTTTTGGAAATGATATGTGTGTTTGCAGATTTGATGCTATATGTTCTTTTTCTGTTGAGATGCCGCATTATTGATATCGGGTATTGCGTTTGTGTTGTATTTTGTGCTTGTTCGGCAGCGTTCTTCTGAAATGTGTATGGCGTATTGAATTTGTTTTGTTGTTTATTGGAGTACATTGTTTCAGGAATTGACTAGAATCGTGGTGCTTGGTAAATGTTGCTATTTGATTGCGAAAGCTAATTACGTATGTTTATTTGTTTGTGTTGTTCGGTTTGTGTGGTTTGGCAGTAGCAATGCTTTTATTAGTGGTTATGAGCTTCTTTTTGGTAATTGTTAGTTGTGTTTGGGTTGATTTATACAGCGTTTGGTGCATATCTGGTCGTTGAAACTGTTTGCCGCAGTTGGAATTTAGAGACGATTGGGAAGTGGAACTTGTTTTTTGCGGTTAGGTGATCAGAGCGATTGTTTTCGTTATGAGAGGGAGACCCGGATTATGGGATGATATGGATTATTTTGCGGCGAACTGCATATTCTATTTATTGGGTCTTCGAGTATTGCTTTAGCATTTCAATGGTGTATCTGCTACTACAGTTTTTGTAATGAAGAGACGTTTGATATCGAAATAGGTTTTCTTGATCTGTAGCCACTTTTGCTAATGAAACGAATTTGAAATGAGAGAGAATTTGAGGCGTTTATTGCCGTTGTTCATGGATTCTGGTACATGCACTGAGATGTTTCGTTGTATGGTTCTCGTCATTGAAGTTTTATCTTCATTTGGTTTCATAAATAGTAAAGAACTTTAGACATGAAGAGAGAATGATCGCTGTACTCCTTCTGTCAATGTGGACAGCTGGCTGTAGCTCGAGTATTGATCATAGTTGGATAGTTATAGCTGACATTTCGATTTAGCAACAAATCTTTCTTCGGAGCCGAAGTATAGCATACGAATATATGTGTCGGTCGTGGTTTCTTATTTCGTTGTCGGAAATTGATTTTAGTGTTATATGGAAATACTAATATGACCTTAACAATATACTCCATGATTAGCGACGTCCTGTTGAGGTATGCAATTTTCGAGAAAGAAACTAACATTTTGTATCTCTTTAAGCTAATTTAGGTATAAAACTACGTCAAATTAGTAAGTATCTATTGAATGTGAGGTAAACAATGATCTTTGTTATAAACAACTAGAGAATCGGGAACCAACACTTTCGAATAGATGTTTGCTCAGTAAGTAAAACCATTAGCATATAGATGGCGTCTTCAGCTGTTCCATCAACATGATTATGACAACATGAAAGCAATTACGTCATCGCTTATTTTGTTCAACTACAACATAACTTTCAACGCATCGAAAAGAGACTAGCATCAACATTGACGCATCCTATAACCAATAACCTAACACTTGTTAAGAATTTCCTTAAAGTGGACGAACTTGTAAGTTAAGAATCAATCTGAAGCTTTCAATGCTTGTTTTATACTAAGCTTACCAACCTTCACTGGATTCTAACATCAACCGTTAACAGCAACTCATTTAATTTACATAATGGTCAACAGAAAATCGTCCTATTTGAAGCCAAAAATAAACACACGATTTTTCGATCCATTCAAAACTTAATTCCAAGAACTGAACTAAAATATACGTTTGTCACATCTATCCATTCAACCATATCGTGTGTTAACTTTTATTACATATCTCCATAGAAAGTGAAACTATCGAAAACAGTCGAATGGAACATCATCAATCTCTTTTGAACCAAGCATTAACTAATGGAACTGGAAAGTGCTAGAATAAGTTGCTGTTGACTCAAACTTATCAAATACGCCTCCCATTAATTTCTGACCATAGAATTCATCTTATGAAGGGCAAAAATTCCAAAGCAACCGGGAGTTTCGCTTCCCAATCACCCCAGCAGGAGGCTTCGCCCCCTGCACAACCATAAGGGAGGCCTGCGCTCACCTTGACCCACCCCCACATATAACCCTCCGCACGTACTTCGGCTTCCGTGCGGGCTACGGCCGCACTTGTGGGCCGATGTTTACAGACGTCAAAGTATACACTCCTGACTCAGTAATAATGATTTTTAACTCACAATCAATGTTTCAGGCACATAAACACAACACATAACCGCTTTTATTTTATAAACTACCACCAAATCATTTTCACACCCTTAAACACGTCGATTGTCCT